CGGCCCGCCACCTGGATGATCCAGGCCAAACCCGTGCGCACCAGCGCGTCGCCAGCCATGGTACCCCGTCCGCGACTCACACCTGGAGCACACCCGTCGACTCCGAAGTTAACCTTCAAGTTGTTCCAAACTTTCATTAACCGCGTGAAATGCGGAGTCGCAAACTCACCACCAATCTTGAGCGCTTCACAATCTTCATTTGACTCAACGTGGTGTGAAGTCGTCAACGGTTTGTCGACCACTCCGCCCCAACGATCACACTTTTCTAGCCGGGAAAACCGCCAGACGCCCGCGGTGGGAGTTGAGCGGTGGGCGGGGGATTGCAATTGAGCTAAAGTTCAACCATTGTGATGAGCACTGGCCGAGCAGGGTGTCCGTCACTCAACGCCGCGATAGAACAGCTACCAGCGGTGGGCTACGTGACTGCTGACGTGTCCGGGGGAAGGGGCGGTCCCTGAAGTGGACACGAGTGATGCGTTCAAGACGTGCTCGCCGCAGCGGAAAAGCTGATGCTACGTTTGGGTTGTGTATGACTGTAGTCACAATTTAGAAGTACAGTATGTGACTTGCTCTTATTCTGCGCGAGTTTTTTTTTTTTTTAATCTCGTTGGATAAACTATTAAATCTCCGTTTATTTTATTCCGGTAGTCTGGTGTGAGCGCAGATGAAGTAACGTTTTAACTTCAGTAATAAAAAGCAACAAAATAGGTGAATGCCGGACTAACACAATTGAAGATCTTTGTGTTTATGATTTATAAGTGACTGTTTTCAAGTGGATTACTTAAAAAAAAAAAAAAAGAAGAAGAAGAATTTCTTAAAACATGTAGCCGATGGCGGCGGAAGAAAATCCACGTTTACAGGATGGGTTTTCCATGAAAACCTGGGGTTGGTTCCAAAACCAAAACAAAGAGATACATAAAAAACTCTCTCTTTCTTTCTCTCTCTGAAATATCATATTTTTACCTGTATTATTATTTGTTTGTGTGTGGTGTGTGCTGCTCGATTAACTCACGAATCCTCCAAAACAAATAATACCAGAACTCATTTCAACAGTACAATCCATCAAGTCAAACAGTGGATGAAACAACACCTAAAGTTTCTCATGAATACTTCAATGACCATGTCAGAATTTGATACAAAAACAAAACTGCAGAGGAAACGGTTCCGCCACGGAAACTTGCTGTCTTGACTCAATACCATCTGGCTATTTCAAAACTATTGCACAATCTGTGCTGAGTTACAGCAAATAATCAACTGCTCACTTCAGTCAGACCCATTTTTCCTATCCCCCAAAAGGAATTTCTGCTGTCCTTGCCAAAAGTATTTCCACTGATTCCCAGCCAGCTGTAGAATAGCTTGTAAAAATAGGCTACTGGTCTGCAAATCACTGAATGGTGTAGGTCCTGATTGCATGAAAGAAATCCTCACAGAATATAAACTCAGAAGACGTTATTTTAAACTAATATTTTTGGGAGTTGAACGAACAAATCGGAGCGGCGGGGAACTCGGAAAGGAATAATGGTGCTGTAGACTGATGATAAAAATAGGACACGTGTTGTGCTGCCAGACCCTTTGACATCAGTGTATTTCTAATGAATTTCTAACTGGCAAAAAGGACGAAAAAAAAACCAAAAAACACACGTCACAATGTTGTGTGCCAAGAGTCTGTTTAATTGACTTATTGACCGCCTGACTCAATCATCCGGTATCACAATTTGACGGCCGACTTTAACTTGGGGAAGAGCCGGAGTGCGTTGCGCGTCGTCACCTGCATCACCTCCTCCACCGACACTCCTTTCACGGCGCTGACGTACTCGGCCGCAACGACGATGTTCTTGGGCTCGTTCCTTAACTGCACGTCGAAGCGGACGGCACAGAAACTGTTCATAAATATACTCTCAAGATGGCGACATTTTCATGAACACAGCTATGATTTTTCAAAACAAAAAAAAGGGACCTGCTTCTCTGGGCCGAGCGCGGGCGAGTCGGTTTCCAAGCACATGTTCTCCAGAGGCAACAGTTTCACTAGTTTCTGCTTCTTGGTGGGAAGAAGAGATTAGTTGAGAGAAGCAGCAAGAATAGTCTGCATATAGTTAAGAATGACATAAACACCGGCAGTGGAGGGACAACCATGCATCTATCAGCAGAAGTAAAGGTGAACGGCAGCATGAATAGTCAGCAGCAAATTCATTAAAAAAAAAAAAAAAAACTCATTCAACAAGCCTGGTCAAAAACTGTTGGGATCCTGAGAAAAGATTCCGAATAATTTGACCATGGGTACATGTTCAACCAAGGTGTGTCTTCTAACGAGTATCACGGGTGTCTTCATACTTGTAAACGGTCAGTTGATCTATTTCAACTGTGACGAATAAGTGACGAGTAACGGTGCTGTTTTGGAATATGCTGTGTACTATGCTAAACGTGGACCAGAGGAAGCGAAAGAGCGCGTCGTCTCAGTAGACCAGTCAGAAAATTATAAGACAAGCACTGTCAAGGTAAAGGCTGTAGTAGCGTGATGTTCCTGTGACGATAGTTGCGCGTTATTCAAAAATGTACAATCCATGGGATGGGAGCCAACCCTCCTGGACATGCTCGCAGAAGGAAAATTAATGACAGATTGACGAGACAGATATTACAAATGGTAACAAACGCGGCCAGAACAAGAAATTAAAGGTGAACTCGTAGGTCAGGGTACGTCTGTTAAAACAAAGAGTATTAATTAATGACGTCTCTAAATACGTCGTTGGGAATGAAATAAAGGCCAGAGGAGGAGCGGCAAATGTGATCAGCAGCAAGTGACGCAGCGTTCGTTGAATGTGTAGCAATCGGCCCCGAAAGGATCATGAAGGGTTGCTCCTTTTGCTCACATCGTAATCTGACCGTTGATTAGTTTATCAAAAAGTACACATGTGCGCTCGCACACACACACACACACGCACGCGCACACACACACACACACACACACACACACACACATTTCTGCACACAGTTAACACGTCATAGATTACAGCCAAAACTCAAAAATGTCGACAGGAAGGTTTGTGAGTGGGTGAAACGACCTGAACCTGAAAGTGATAGGAAACTTCCCCGAAATGATCAATTTCCTTTCTTATCAAATTTACGATTGATTTTGTTGACGCAGGCTCGTCAGCACACATTCGTCAAGACAAATTTCACTCTCTGGCCACTTCATTAGGTACGTAAGATGACGCAAGTGTACCCGAACGACGTGTCCGGTCAGTGTATTGGCATGCACCTGCTCGCTGCGTACGATGGACGGCGGGATGGAGAAGAAGTATCCGGCTTTCACCCCCTCCATGGCGACCGACGGCCTCCCGTCAAAGGCGTGAAGGAGAACTTTTTCCACACCTGCGAAAAGCAGCACAGGCTGCTTTAATTCTTCTCATTACTTCCAAGCAGCATTTATAGAAAGTAGGCTTATTGAAATACACACCACTGCCATATTTAAAGTAGCAACACTAAACAGCGGAACCTTCAAAGTCAGACATTTATGCAGCTTTAATTCTTATCGAACATAAGGTGTCACACCTTGCTCTTTCAGAAGCTGGATAGTGGGTCGACCCGCCGAACGTGAATGAACATTCCTAATTAGAAATACACATTTAATTTGATAAAACAGCATTTGGTTTTTTTTTTGCTTGTTTTTTTTTTTTTTTTTAACAAATAAATGTGTCTTTCGACTCACAGAGGGAGGTCCAGCTCTTTGGCTAGATGCACCTGGCGGATCAGAACCTGCCTTTGGTTCTCTTTGTCCGACTCGCTGCTCACATACCTGGGTGTAAAATCCAAACCGACCTAGGACGACATGTGGGAACATTGATCATGTCAGAAATGCAGTACAACCTTTGCTGATTTAAGAACTGTTAGGGTTCACATTTACTTTGATGTCAATGTTTCCTACCTCTCCAATGGCCACAAGGTGGTCTTTGTATTTATCAATCAGGGGAAGAGCAGCATCCAGGTCCTGTGCACACGACAAGAAAGTGTTGCACAGTTTGTAAATGGACACGGCAGTATATGTCCAAGGATGTTCGGATTAATTTTGGATTCTTACCTGTAGAGAAGCACTTCTGTGTTGGTCAGAGGATACTTCCTGAACAGGGTGGACTCCCAGGCAGGGCAACACAAACCCTGGGAATCTAAAAATGAAGAAATAAGTTAGCTATTAAAAAATAAAAATGAAAACTGGGAGCGTGTTTTTTATTTTTGTTTCAAAGTTACCTCTGTGACAATGCAATGATCTTTTCAAACTCCCCTGCATGCTCGGCCACGGCCAACAATGCCAACAGCCCAGCCTGGCAGTTAAAAACAACATCCTCGTTTCATCATGGCAGCAAATAATGACCCAAGAGACTTAAAGGAGCAATTAACCCACCCGTTTGGAGTCCTCAATAACCGTTTCTATGTCCTAAAAGATGATTGTGACAATTTAAGACGGATAAATGACTAAATCGTTCGGCAACTGTGATTAATACCTTGTCAAAATCTCCCGCTGCGATGTGTCCAGCCTGGCAGTTAAAAACAACACCCACGTTTCATCATGAGAGCAAATAATGACCCAAGAGACTTAAAGGAGCAATTAACCCACCCGTTTGGAGTCCTCAATAACCGTTTCTATGTCCTAAAAGATAATGGTGACAATTTAAGACGGATAAATGACTAAAACGTTCGGCAACCACGATTAATACCTTGTCAAAATCTCCCGCTGCGATGTGACAGTGGCAGTCGAGGAAGCCACGCATGATGGAATCAAAACATCCGGGTCGCACGCCCCAGTGCGCATGCGCCCAACTCACGTGCACCAGATTTAGATACAGGGATTCCCCACGAGGGCGGCACTGTCAGTTTCTTTGGGCAAAACGGTTTTCGACAAAGCCACAAACTAAATATCAAACGCGCCCTATACAGGGTTTCCCCACGAGGGCGGCACAGTCAGTTTCTTCGGGCAAAACGGTTTTCGAGAAAGCCACAAACCAAATATCAAACGCGCCCTGGGGTAAACGTAATCGACTGAAGCCGCTTTCACTTCTGTTAAAAAGTTATCGCTGTAATTAAACTTTTGACATTGAATAGATAATCAAAATAACTCTAAATAAATTAAAAAAATAAAGTTTTGTTCAAGACGTACTTTCGTGTACATTATTGACAGTCGATTCAGTCGCGAATGTTGGTTTCAAAAAATCCCGGATACGCATGAGCTATACCTCTCCAACACCACATTTATCTTGGGTCTCCCGCAAGGGCGGTGCTCTTACAGACCGTCGAGTTAAACCCGTTTCCGTAAACTTTACACCACCAAATCAAACAGACCCTGCGGAAACGCCGTAAAGTTTTTTTTTTTGCCATAAAGTTTAAAGGCCAATTCAACTTCCGTGTTTACAAGCCAAGAAGTGGACCGTTAAATGTTTCTTCTTCAATTTTCTGTTTTTGATGAAAGCATTTCAATTATTTAGATAGCAATGGCGGTATTCACCGCTGCGTCTTTCCTCTTTTGCCTGCTGTGCATCCGCGTCACCGTGGCGAAATACGAACCCAACTGGGAATCCATCGACTCGAGGCCACTGCCGGAGTGGTACGATCAGGCCAAGTTCGGCATCTTCATCCACTGGGGTGTCTTCTCCGTGCCCAGCTTCGGCAGCGAGTGGTTTTGGTGAGAATTCTATCGCCTATTCTTGATCGAAAAGTAAAACTATTCACCTTTTCACGATGGCGAGGGCACGTGATGCAAGAGCAATGCTGGCACCTAGTGGCGTTTTTCTTGTCTCGCAGGTGGTACTGGCAGGGGCAAAGGCGGGAGCCGTATGTCACCTTCATGCACAAGAATTATCCGCCGGACTTTAAGTATCAAGACTTTGCACCCCATTTCACTGCCGAGTTCTTCGACGCCAAAGAATGGATGGACATCTTTGCCGCATCGGGCGCAAAGTACATCGTGCTGACCACAAAACATCATGAAGGTAGTGTTTTGAGCCATCACAAATCCAAACACTGATAAACGCAGGCTGTGGATGAAGCTTGGCTGTTATCCTTAAAATCAGTTTGAATCTGTCTAAAAGCAAAACACATAAATACAGGCTCCGGATAAAACTATGTGTTGATCTGCATAGTCAGTTCAATCCATAAAAAATCTGGACACATGTACCCATCCATCCATCCATCCATCCATCCATCCATCCATCCATCCATCCATCCATCCATCCATTCAATGTTAGCTGGCTTGCCAACATGTTATGCTTACCAATTTAAGCTGTCAATCATCCCCAGGCTTCACACTGTGGGGCTCCGAGACCTCGTGGAACTGGAACGCAGTGGACTTGGGCCCCAAGCGCGACCTGGTAGCGGAGGTGGCGAGCGCCGTGCGCGCTCACAGTGACCTGCGCCTGGGCCTGTACCACTCGCTTTTCGAGTGGTTTCATCCACTGTTCCTGCAGGATGCCGCCAACCACTTCGCCACCAACCGCTTTGCCCTCGCCAAAAGTCTGCCCGAACTTTACGAGCTGGTGCTGACGTACAAGCCTGACGTGCTGTGGTCGGATGGAGACGGGGATGCGCCAGACAAATACTGGAACAGCACCGGGTTCCTAGCCTGGCTCTACAATGACAGGTAAAATAAGTCATCTTTTATAGTCTTTTTTTTTTTTTTTACATAGTTGGGTAAATGCTGGAAAGTGCTAATGTGCAAATAATTTGGAAAATACATATGTATTTAAAAAAGGGTCATGCAGCAAAGATGCAAAAAGTGAAGGACGATATAGCGAGCAATGATTATTCCAAACTTTCGATCACATATCCAAATTAGTGACAACCCTCTGCTCACATTTCTCAATTGATTCAAACCAGTCACACTTCAAAGAGTTACCGGTAATTCAAGACAGTGTTTGTATATACACTTTTACAATAAGATTACCAATTTAAGAGACATTTCATATATTTACCTTCTCCTTTCTGACCTCTTGACTGTTTCAGAACATTTGACTAAAATTGTACTAAAATAAGTTTAAAAACTAACAGTTTTTAAAAAATGTAATGCAAATACATTTGACTTGAATACCACTGAACTTGACTTAGGAAGTGATTCGTTTGCGTACCACCAGAGGGAGCCCGGGTACCGCTATTGGTACGAGTACCACACATCGCGATTGACTCCTCTCATGTCATTTTTAATTTTTTGACCCGCAGTCCAGTGCGGGACACGGTGGTGACAAACGACCGATGGGGCTTGGGCTCCATCTGCAAACATGGCGGCTATTACACCTGTGCCGACCGCTACCAGCCGGGTCACCTGCTGCCGCACAAGTGGGAGAACTGCATGACCATCGACACCAAGTCATGGGGCTACAGGCGCAACGCCCCGCTCGCCGACTACCTCACCATCGAGGAGATTGTGGAGGTGAATATGTCAGATGAAATCACTACAAGTGTGTCTCTGAAGGCGATGACTAAAATGGGCCTAAAATGAAATGGCAGCTTGAAACGTCTTTTTGGCAGTGGTTCTTTTTTTTTTTTTTTTTTTTTTTTTTTTTTGTGGGCTTACTCATGATGGACATAACTACCTAATTTCATGTTGTTTAGGGAAACTGGCTTCTCGGAGTAAATGGGGATTTTTTTTTTTTTTTTTTGTGGGTCTACTATGGATAGACATGCTTACCAAATTCAATGTGACCATGTACAGTAAACTGGCCGCAGGGGTTACATTTTCAAGACATTTGGTCAAGATCTTAAAATGGGTGCTTCGCTTTAAAATGGCAGACTTCCTGTGTCTGAAAACAATTTTCCAATACGATAGCAATCAGCCAAAGCACTTTGGCCAGTTTGTGTTGTTAGTGACAACCTCCTCTTAGATGACCGAACCTTTCCGGTGTCTCTTTTTCCAGACGTTGGTGGAGACCGTGTCCTGCGGCGGCAACCTGCTGATGAACGTGGGCCCCACGGCGGACGGGAGGATCGCACCCATCTTTGAGGAGCGCCTGCGCCAGATTGGTCGATGGCTTCGGGTGAATGGCGAGGGGGTCTACAACAGCAGCGCCTGGCGGGCTCAGAAGGACACGGTCACATCCGGCGTCTGGTACACGTCCAGACCGCGGCAGAACGCAGTCTTTGCCTTTTTCCTCGTGTGGCCGACTGACGGAATTTTACTCCTCGGCGAACCTGAGCTCGCACCGGGACAAACTCAGGTAAGCTTTATTAGGTACATCTCCGTCATGCTAAGTTTACGACAGAGGAATTAGGAACAACAGAGTCCATGACGCGATGCATTATTAGGCTTGCAAATTGAATTTGTCCCAGCTGTCTTCAGGCAGCAGGTGGGGTACACCCTAAATTGGTCGCCAGCCAATCGCAAGGCACACATAGACGAGCAACCGTTCGCACTCACAATCACACCTCGGGACAATTTTGAGTGTTCCATTAACCTGCCAAGCACATTTTTGGAATGTGGGAGGAAACCAGAGTACCCGGAGAACACCCACGCAGGCACGGAGAGAACGTACAAACTCCACACAGGAAGGCTGGAGCCGGAATCGAACCCCGTGGTAACCAGTCGACCACGGTGCCGCCCCACTTTGAGAATCACTTTCACATCATCCAACAAGTTTTCTCTGTCATTCCTGATTTTACGGGAAGGGCTGTGCATCAAGCGGCCAGCTTTTGTTTGGCTGGCCGTCCCGGTGGGCGTCTTGTGTTCAAAGAATTCCGTCATCCACGCCCACCCGCCGCCACCTGCTGGCACTCGTGCTCACGCTGCCTTCTTGCTGACTCATTAAGATGCCTTCTCGGATTGCGCTTGTAGTTTTCTGGGAAGCGGGGCCACTCGCATTGATTTTTGTTGCCTGACATTCGGTAATCCTGTTTAAAAATGTGCTCTGTGTTTTTGTTCTGGGTAAAAAAAAACAAAAAAAACCCCAGCAAAACCAGGTGGTGCTCGTGGGTCACGGCCCTGTGAAGTGGGAGCCTGCAAAGCCCAGCGGTATCCGGGTCTTCCTACCTCAGCTGTCCATCAGCCAGATGCCATGCCAGTGGGCCTGGACCCTCAGACTGACCGGTGCCAAGTGAACAAGAAGAAGAAGATGACGCCGACTAATTTTGGATGCACTGAAATGAATTGAAGCTGTGAGCGCAAGGAGCTGAAAACGCGACTTGATGTAATGCTATAATTTGTGTGTTACCTCTTTAATTAAATAAAAGATGCAAATACATTTTTGTCCAAGTTCAGTATTTGAATATATATTTTACTTTTTTCCAAAGTATATATGAAAAAAAAAAATCATTCACTTAAACTTTTTAAATCCAAAACATAACCGACGAATTTGTAAATCGGAAAGTCTGTTTCCAGAGGACAGCTCAGTACAACATAAATATTCGGACTTTAATCGAAACAAACGTCAAAATATCGCAAATCACAAAAACAATCGTCTGTCTCAAAAAGAATGTTTTTTTCTTGTAAATCGACAACTTTTTGCTAATAATATCACGACTCGTAAATCAGTCATTTTTCTCCCTCAAAATCTGAAACATTTTCAGAAAAATCTTATTCTTGTCATCTTCTGACGTTAATCCAGAAAATACGACTTTGTCGAAAAACAACCTTTTTTTTAGGGCAAGTATTAATTTTTAATCAAAAATATTGTTTCATTCTCATAAAAAAATGTATCTTAATCTCGAAAATCTTAAATATTTCATGAGGCTAGACTAAGACTACAATCCCCAAAATACACGTTTTTGTGTCGAAAAAAATAATCTGAAATGATCTTTTAATTGTGAAAATAATTTGGTCTTTCTCTTCCAAATATGCAATTCAACTGTTGATGAACCCTTAATTCATAAATCTGACTACATCTATTATCATACTACATATATTATTATTAGTTTATTGTTATGAAAACCTGATGTGCTTGAGAAAAAAAAAACGTAGGCATAATCGGAAACGGCAAAAAAAAAAATGGAGTAAACATTTGTTGACTGCTGTTATTTTTCTCCAGGTGGCCCGAATACCCCTGCGCACAGTGTACTCAAATGCTGTGCCCAGTGCATTTTGTCCCATTGTTTGTTACCACGTCATATTTTGCGTACATCTTGTAACAAATATTGTAGGTGTTGCTTTTCGTTTCTCTCCGGAGGCGGGGCGGTGAATATTTCATCGCTGGCGTTGTGAATCAAATGTTTTCGAGCTGTTTTTGGCGTCCTCTGGTGGCGCTTGGCTGCACTGCACACCGGAGGAGGCATAAGGACACGTTCCAAGCTCATCTCGGACGACTCCGGAGAGAAAGCGACAACCCCCCCCCCCCCCCCCCCCCCCCAAAAAAAAAAACATTATTAGACTGTACAGACAAATGGATAAATCACACATCGGTGTGATCATGCACTTTTAAAAAAGTGATCGGTACACTCTAGCACATCAGAATGTCGGTGCAGTTAACAGGCATATTTCCGAACACGCCCTTTGTAAGTAATGGCCTTCTCAAACGACGCAATGCTTTCGTTGTTCATGACAGTTACACTGTCAGTCTACCAGATCAATGTAATTCTGTGTCTCGGACTGGGCGAGATGTCACACTACAAGTCTGTCACCGACCGTCGAATTTAGGCTGCGCGTGGTGGAGTGGGGGTCTTAAATGGGGAGGGGGTTGTGGTGGCCGATGTTTGTCACCTGAGATGGTGACTCCAGTGCGGGGGGCGAGTGGGGGGGGCGTTGTGTGTGTGCGTGTGTGAGTGTGAGCGCATGCACGCACGGTGAGCCGGATATCCCCATATAGGCAGGCGCGTGACAGCTGATCCGACGACACCAAGTCAAAGAAGCCCTGTTTGAATTGAAGGATCAATTCATTTGGACAAGTAACACTCATGTCTAGTTTTACATTGCCATAGACACACCGAAACGCGGCCCAATAGGTAACTGTGCCGAAATAAGTTGTAACAGGAAATGTTAACATAACATAACATGAATAACTCAATTGTATTGAAACATTTTGTATTTTTGTAGTTGTATTTTCAAAATGATATTGGGACGGTACAAGATAAAAAATTCACGGGAGTAGATGGGATTGGGATTTTCTAATTTTTTTTTTTTTTTGCATTACATCATGATTTTTTTTTTTTATGTTCAAACATTTTGTATTCGTTCCTCTTTTTCAAGATGACATCAAAAACGGTTGTGGATACAGCGTTAGTCTTTATTTTTAAAGTCATATTCGTAATAAAACGTAGAAGATCCTTTAATGTCCTTATTTTTTAAAATAATGAAAGCCTAGTATATATTCTCTTTATAACCTTTATATCTCTTTGGTCTTTTATGATTATAAATAGTAATAAATGAACAAAAATAAACAGTCACAAGCAATACATGACCTTGCTCTATTTAGAATGTATTTACCGCTCTCATATATATATTTTTTATTTTTATTTGACAATAAAGTTGTACTTGACTTGATTTACGATACTATTAGGAATATTGTTTTGGCATAGTAAAATATACATCCCTCCGGTACCATTGCTAATTTTCTAAATCATGTCAGTGTGCGTGTGTGAGTGTGTGTGCTCCCTCCCCGCTGCCGCACGCTTTTGAACAGGGGGGAGGTCCCTGTTCTGCAAATGTTCCATGACATGCAGATGGGGGGGCGACCAAGGGAATAAATCGAACGGGAGGAAAAGTGGATTGAGATGATATTGGGACGGTACAAGATAAAAAATTCACGGGAGTAGATGGGATTGGGATTTTTTTCTAATTTTTTTTTTTTGCATTACATCATGATTTTTTTTTTTTATGTTCAAACATTTGTATTCGTTCCTCTTTTTCAAGATGACATCAAAAACGGTTGTGGATACAGCGTTAGTCTTTATTTTTAAAGTCATATTCGTAATAAAACGTAGAAGATCCTTTAATGTCCTTATTTTTTAAAATAATGAAAGCCTAGTATATATTCTCTTTATAACCTTTATATCTCTTTGGTCTTTTATGATTATAAATAGTAATAAATGAACAAAAATAAACAGTCACAAGCAATACATGACCTTGCTCTATTTAGAATGTATTTACCGCTCTCATATATATATTTTTTATTTTTATTTGACAATAAAGTTGTACTTGACTTGATTTACGATACTATTAGGAATATTGTTTTGGCATAGTAAAATATACATCCCTCCGGTACCATTGCTAATTTTCTAAATCATGTCATTTCATGTTCCATTATTCTTTTGCATTTTTCTGTTTTAGGGTTGTATTCAAACAAACGGACATGGAATCAATGACATCCTAATTTAAACATGGTTAAAATTGGATTTGACTGCCGCTTTAACATCTACATTTAAGATGATGCCTTTTTCTCCCTTTTTCCCTTCCAACATTTGCTGGTAATTAGACATACCGACAGGAAGCGGGGGCCATTGTGGCAGACTCTGTTGCCATGGCGACGCAGCACTAGGTGTCAAGCTTATTTTCTGATTTTAAAGAGACGGCGGCGGAAGGATGAAGATGAATGATGTGTGATGTGTGCAAGTGGCCTGGGAGAAACCGTCAAACCTTCCATTCATAACCCCCCCCCCTCCCCATCTCCGTCATTCACTGTGTTGTCATCACCTCATTTGAGGGAGGTGTGGGGGGGGGGGGACATGGAATCCCGCTCAGCTGTTCCGAGCAAGTGCGCATCTGCCTGAGAGGGAGCATTTGTATTTCTACACGACAAGTGGTTCGACCTTGACTGTATTAGCCATTTTAGCCCCCCCCCCCCCACACACACACTCCTACTTGACCCTTCCTCAGCCATCCTATGCTGCATAATGGAGCCGCAAGCGAGTTCCAACTTGTTCTACGCTCGATGACTAAGAATAGCGCCCTGAGGGGCTCCTCTTTCAATACACACTTTTGGCATTCTCAGGCTTGTTAGGCCACCTCGCTGAGGGGAGCAGTGGCTATCCCATAGTTGCAACCCCCCCTGAAATTTGGTCAACATGGCTATCGGGAGTAAACCCACCAAAAAAAGTCGCAGGAAGCCATCCTTGAAACGGCACAGGCAATCGGCCATTTTGCTGAAGCCGCCATTTTGTTTCAGTGCACCCTATAGATTCTCCCGTTCTCCTGAAGCCAGTTTCCTTGAGCGACGTCACGTTTCGTAGACCCACAAAAACGTTTCAAGACTCCATGCCGGACCAGGACAGAGGGAGTCTGCCATTTTGGTTTGAAGTGGCCAACTGATTTTGGTTCCATGTCGCACATTTTCATGGGTCCTTCAAAAACAAACTGACGCTCGAGATTTTTCTCCGATTGCTATCCAATTTGTACCACGTGTACTGGGCAGATGGATGACTGTCACGTGAAGAATTTGAGTGTCCGACATTGCTTGTGGGCGAAGCTTGAAGATTCGCCAAAACCGTAAAAATCTTGGGTGGTCACAATGTTCTAACTTTCTATATGCATGCCAAACGAATCGATGTTCTCTGGGGGAAATATTGTCCGTGTAATAAGAAGGGTTGAGGTTTGAAGAGGCTGGCACGCATACGCAGGATGCGGCGTGCAGCTGCACATCATCTGGCGGCATTGTCCCCCGCACGGCTCGTCACGACGTCGATGGTTCTCCTCCTTTGTGAATGGAGGCCGAGGATGTCGTGACGGGAAGCTCCGAGCATCTCACAAAAGAACCCAGAGGCTTTTTTTTTTTCCTTTTCTCCCATTCTCCCACTTCCTCCTCGTCATACGCCAACCGAATTGCACCTTTTGAAGGGTAGTTCTCGATTCTTGATGAATGAAGAGCAGCTTTTGACAATGCTCATGACATCTGACTAACGCCCCCCCCCCCCCTCCCTCCCTCGCGCTTCTCCTCCTACCCAGCCTGAGTGAGCAGCCAGAGCCGGAGAGGAAAAGCGCCCTGAAACGTGGGCCGTTGTGTAATCCCTCCAAGGGCCCCTTTGCTATTTTTGTACCCGGGTCTGCACGTCATGCTTGGGTATTTTCTCTGGTGACTGGCTCGCATCAATAGAACGCTCCAAATGTGCGCCGCTCCTGCCGCCACTCCGGACTGATGGGACGTTTACCCTCGCGTTTTTTTCCCTTATCCCGCTGGAGGCAGAATGGACGGTGCGGGATGAGGAATGAGGATGCGGGACGTGGAAGGAGAGGCGGGGGCTGAAATGTCAGGTTTGTATGAGGATCATGCGGAGCTGCATGCGTGTGAATGTCATTGTGATATTTATGGATGCTCGCGTTTAAAGGGACGGAGTGTTTCTTTTTTTTTCCCCCCCTCACCCACCTGCGCCTCACACCGCTGCTGTGTCATGCATTTGTTGCACAGGTGCAACACGACGACATGCGTCTGCGTCTTTGTGCGCGCGCCGAGACATGGGATTAATCTGGCGTACGCCGCAGAAAATGTATTAACCTGGTTTTACCACCGCACGGGCACCGAATCAGCTCAACTCGTTCGACTTAAGTTAGGGGCACGTATTTCTGCACTGCTTCGCATCGGTTTGGTAATGCCACAAGAATGAAAAGTTGAAAAAAAAAATCCCACCATATTCAAAGCATCAAGTCACCATCTCGGTAAACTACGTGAAAAATGCCAAACACGTCAGATTGAGCTGAGCTAAATTCTACTTCGAAAACTGGAAAAACAACTCGCGCCCAACGCATCGGTTGGATAAAGCTTCATGAATAGGAAGTTGCAAAAAAATAGTCAAACTGAAGACAAAAACAGCTGCATTGAACGCATCACTTGGTCACAAACCGCAAGCTATGTTGAGGGGAAATTGCTAAATCTTAAAAAAAAAAAAAAAAAAAAAAAAAAAACGTATGAAGCCGCACTCACGAGAAACTGAAAACTCCCCCACGTTGAATGCATCTTTCAGATCGAGCCACGCCACAGCAGGGTAACCACAATGGACACATCAGCAGCATCAATTCAAGAATTGGATCTGGGACTGGAATCTGGGGGAAACCTGTTGCGCTAAACACATCAGAAATCATGTTAACGTGAAACTTTGTAAAAAAACGTCACGTTAAATGCATGAAAGGGATCGAGCTACATGAATGGGAAGTCGCAAAAAAAAGTATCACGCTGAAGCCGAACTCATGGAAAACTACGACAAACCCACCGAATGCATCTTGCCGCGCTAACCAGATCAAGCTAACAGGAGACTGAGAAAACCTGCCGCAGAACACATGGGTTGGATTGACTGAAGCTAATGCGTAGTTGTCTTTTCTGGACCTCAGTGGGATGGAAACTAAGCAATGAGGTCAGATCGACCTTGAGGAGGGAGCCTTCAACGCCCCCCC